ACTACTTTGTAGCTAGTGCCGCTAAGTAATTATATAGATATCTACCTAGAAGCACTTATAAGCCTATTATATACTTAGCGTTATCCTTATATATACAAAAATAGCCCTTAATAGTCTAAGTCTAGAAAAGCTATAGGATATCTATCTAGTACTCTAGGGTACCCAGCTAATTATTTTATTCCTTAAACTACCTATGCTTAAAGTATAGATCTATATAATCCTAGGCTATGCCCTAACCCAAACCTCTAAATATAGGATCCTTAGCTATCTCCTAAACAACCACTAGATTATATATATATAAGAGTAAAAGGAAAGTATAGATATATATAAGACTTAAATACTAAATAGTTATAGTTATCTCTTTTAGATTACTTAACTACTATAATATATAGATATCTACTACCGCCGGTATCTATTATATATTTAGCTTATCTCTTATCCTTTTACTACTATCCTCCTTTAATACTACTTAGTTTTAATCTATACTCTATATTTTATATATAATTATATAGGAATTCTAATAGCTATTAGAAAATAGTAGTATAAGTAGGATCCCCTTTACTAGAATCTATAATAGAGTAATAATTTCTAATAGCTATCTAAAAGTACTAGTATAATCTTTTCTAGTCCCTAACTACCCTCTTCTACTTAAATTCTAATAGACATCTAAAAATATTAGTATAATAGCTCCCATCCCCCTATCCTATTTTCTAATAGCCGTTAGAAAATAAGACGGCCAGACCAGCTATCTATATAATAAACATATAAGTAATATCAACCAGCCGTCAGAAAATAGAGATTGATTTAATATTATTCTACTAATTATCTAATATAGATATATATCTAAGATCTCTATATTCTACTTACAAATACTATAGATACTAAGAAGGAGAATAATATATATATATAGATCTCGATATAGACCGGGCCAGCCTATAAGACTAATATCCTACTCTATATTCTATATAGGAAGTATAAGATTTGGTTTTATACCTAGGTTTATTCTTAGTAAATCACTATATTCTAACCTATAAACCACTAGCACCGAAATTACTAATTATATTAATTAAAACACAAGAAATATAGAACTAACGAGAACCTAGGTAAAAAAAGCCTACTGAAAATACAATTAATCTCTATTACCCTACGCTCCTAAATATATTACTACTTATTTAGGGTAGTAAGATTGGGATCTCTATATTGGGAGACTCGCTCTAGATTCACTTTTACAATTAATTCAGCTTTACTGGGGTTACTAGTGTGGAGACTAAGATTGTAAATCCCCAGGTAGAGTATAATATACTACTAGTAGTATACTTATACAAACTAAGAACTTTATATTTATTTATATCTAGCTATAAAAAGGCTTCTATATCTAGGCCTAGTATATCCCTAAGCACCTTATAGATAAGCTACTTTAGGATCTTCTCCCTATTATCCAATCTCTCTATATAATTAGATATCAAGTCTATCTTATTACCGGAGTCCTAACTATAGTCGGGCCCAACACCCCCCCCCCTGTTCCGCATTAACAAGTCTTGGCAAGGGGGGGGGTGTTGAGTGGGTCTTTAGAAAAAGTGGGTCAAACCCAACAGCCCCTCCCAAATCTCTAATTTTTGAGATATTCTTATCGGGGTTTTTTTAAAATTGGTAATTAAAGCCCAAATTATTGTAATATCAAATAATATTCTACAATATACTAGTATAAGAGTAAGACCCTAGCTGATTTAGAATTAGGGAATTCAGTTTTGATAGGGGATGACAAAGCTAGTCGCTGCGGGTAGGCTATCCCCTTTTTAGCTATCTTATCTTATCTTTAATAAGAGAGATAAGATTATTGAACCCTAATTACCCTAGAGTAACTACTCTAAAAGATTAGACTAGAACTATAGTAGTTTAATAATAAAGATATTGTAATAAAAATCATATATTCTAGTAAAGACGCCTAGCTATAGCTAGCTAAGCTAGTTAGCTAAGTAAACTAGTTGGCTAGCTAAGCTACTAGGCTAAATAAAATATATTACTAAGTAAGCTAGTTAGCTAGTAGGCTAGTTATACTAGTTAGCTAGTTAACTAGTAAGCCTAGTAGCAACCGAACCTGTTAGCTAGTTGGCTAGTTAAGCTAGTAAATCAAATAGCTAAGTAAGCCAGTAAGCTAGATAGCTAAGCAACTTAACCAGCTAGTTAAGCCAATTAGCGAGTTAGACAGGTATATCCGGTTTAAAATAGTTCGGCTTAGATAGACTTAGTTATTTTAATATAGCTTAGCTTAGATAGGCCTAGTTGGTTTAGTATAGTTCGGCTTAGATAGGCCTAGTTGATTTGATATAGTTTAATTTAGATGTGCTAGTTGGTTTGATATAGATCGGCCTAGTTGATTTGGTATAGTTCAAATAAGATGTGCCAGTTGATTTGATATAGATAGGCCTAGTTAGTTTAATATAGCTTGGTTTCAATAGGCCTAGTTGATTTAGTATGGTTCGGCTTGGACGGGCCTAGTTGGTTTGGTATAGTTCAATTTAGATGCGCCAGTTGGTTTAATATAGATTGCCTTAGATGCGCTAGTTAGTTTAATATAGATAGGCCTAGTTGATTTAGTATAGTTCAAATAAGATATGCTAATTGATTTGATATAGATAGGCCCAGTCAGTTTGATATAGCTTAGTTTCGATAGGCCTAGTTGATTTGGTATGGTTTGGCTTAGATAGGCCTACTTAGTTTAGTATAGTTCAGCTTAGACGGGCTTAGTTAATTTAGTATGGTTCGGCTTAGACGGGCCTAGTCGATCTAGTATAGTTTAATTTAGATACGCCAGTTGGTTTAATATATATAGGCCTAGTTGATTTGGTATAATTTAGATTATATACGCTAGTTGATTTGATATAGATAGGCCCAGTTGATTTGGTATAATTTAGATTATATACGCCAGTTGATTTGATATGGTTCGGCTTAGACGGGCCTAGTTGATCTAGTATAGTTCGGCTTGGACGGGCTTAGTTGATCTAGTATAGTTCAGCTTAGACGGGCTCAGTTGATTTAATATAGATTATCTTAGATACGCCAGTTGGTTTAATATATATAGGCCTAGTTGATTTGGTATAATTTAGATTATATACGCCAGTTGATTTGATATAGATAGGCCCAGTTGATTTGGTATAATTTAGATTATATACGCCAGTTGATTTGATATGGTTCGGCTTAGACGGACCTAGTTGGTTTGGTATAGTTCTGCTTGGACGGGCTCAGTTGATTTGATATAATTCAGATTAGATACGCCAGTTGGTTTGATATAATTTAGCTTCGATAGGCCTAGTTGATTTGATATAGTTCGGCTTACACAGGCCTAGTTGATTTAGTATAGTTCGGCTTGGACGGGCTCAGTTGATTTGGTATAGTTCAGATTAGATGTGCCAGTTGGTTTAATATATATGGGCCTAGTTGATTTGGTTTAATTCAGATTATATATACTAGTTGATTTGATATAGATAGGCTCAGTTGATTTGATATAATTCAGATTAGATACGCCAGTTGGTTTGATATAGTTTAGCTTCGATAGGCCTAGTTGATTTGATATAGTTCGGCTTACACAGGCCTAGTTGATTTAGTATAGTTCGGCTTGGACGGGCTCAGTTGATTTGGTATAGTTCAGATTAGATGTGCCAGTTGGTTTAATATATATGGGCCTAGTTGATTTGGTTTAATTCAGATTATATATACCAGTTGATTTGATATAGATGGGCCCAGTTGATTTGATATGGTTCAGCTTGCACAGGCCTAGTTGATTTAGTATAGTTCGGCTTGGACGGGCTCAGTTGATTTGGTATAGTTCAGATTAGATGTGCCAGTTGGTTTAATATATATGGGCCTAGTTGATTTGGTTTAATTCAGATTATATATACCAGTTGATTTGATATAGATGGGCCCAGTTGATTTGATATGGTTTGGCTTAGACAGGCCTAGTTAGTTTAGTATAGTTCAGCTTAGACGGGCTTAGTTAATTTAGTATGGTTCGGCTTAGACGGGCCTAATCGATCTGGTATAGTTTAATTTAGATACGCCAGTTGGTTTAATATATATAGGCCTAGTTGAATTGGTTTAATTCAGATTACATATACCAGTTGATTTAATATAGATGGGCCCAGTTGATTTGCTATTGTTCGGCTTGAACGAGCCTAATTGGTTTGGTATGGTTCGGCTTGGACGGGCTCAGTTGATTTAGTATGGTTCGGCTAGGACGGGCCTAGTTGATTTGATATGGTTCGGCTTGCACGGGCCTAGTTGATTTGGTATAGTTCGGCTTGGACGGGCTCAGTTGATTTGATATGGTTCGGCTTAGTCTGGCCTAGTCAGTTTGATATTGCTCGGTTTAGATACGCCAGTTGGTTTGATACGGCTCAGCTTGGATAGGCCCAGTTGGTTTGGTATAGCTCGGCTTGGAAAGCCCCTGTTGGTTTGATGTGGCTCGGCTTGGATAGGCCTAGTCAATTTGATATCGTTCGGCTTGGATGGGCTTGCCGTATTTAGCTCTATACTAATCCTATAAACTCCCAAATTAGACCGTTCGATAGAGAAAATTTACAGCTATCCAGCTATAATAAAACAGTTATATAAAAAATATAGTAAAACTAGTAAAACTGCAGATTCATCCAAATTATCACTCCATACCCATATCACTCCAAAATTCCTTGGCAAAACTATAAAAAAACCATACGCCGGCTACCATCTCTGTATCTAATCTCCATATCTGCTTTCTAAACCTAGTTGGCGTCCATTCCTTAGGCACCCAATCCCCGTTTAGGCTTGGATCTGTTATATCAGCCTCTGCATTTTCTTCTATTATTTTAGAAGATAATACCCAAAATGCTGCTATAAGCTCTGGTGAAAAACATCCTGTTTCAGTAGACAAAGCTCCTTTGCATAGCCTAGTAGGCAGATAGCAGTCAAAACAACAGCTATCTTCCTCTGGATAGACCATAGCCCTTAGCCTCTCAGCCTGTTGTTTATAGCCTGTCCTATAATAGTAACAGCTAGTAAAACAGTGTGCAGAAGCTTCATCTCTCGGCTGTTCTGTCTGATATATAGCTATATTTAAATATTAGCAAACAGATATATAGATATATAGATATATATTTATATATATATATATAAAGAGAGAGAGAGTTATAACTTACTATACCATCCTAGCCAGCATATAAAACATCTCTCCTCGGTCCAGTATTTTACCGCTCTAGCAAAAAAGGCCATATCGTTGTTATATTGCCTTTCCACTGCTCTCACCCTTTGGGATTGGCTAGTCAGGGTAGCAAATCGGCTAGCACAGAGATCGCATAGAGCCCAGCTAGGCTCACAATGCTCTAGGGTTTGGCTATCAAATACCCGAGCTATAACTCTCCGCCGGCAGATATCTTCATACAGATATTGCTGAAAATAAATTTGCTCAGCAGGGCCATTTAAAGATATATATCTTCCAGAGCTAGACGGAATTAGGCAATAAGCCCATGCAGATAGATTAGGTGATCTCCCAGCTCGGCCAGATTCCTGTATAAAACTAGTAATCTCGTATCGGCCAGGCTTAAAATGGATTACAAGATCCACATCTGGGAAATCATAGCCAGCTCCGATACCACTAGTAGCCAATAAAATTGGACCCTCGGCTCTGAAATAGGCTAATTGGGCTAATTTCTCTTCCTCAGATAGATCAGAATGGAATCTAGCTGCCTGAGGCTCTAAGGCCTGATATAGCTGATCAACTATAGCCTTTGTACGGCAGAACACAATAGTCTTCCTCCCGGTATAGCTAAGCCGATTAGCCCTAAAAGCCTTCATCCACTGTATCAGATAGCCAGCGTAATTCTCTGGCTTTAGCAAGGCCGGTAAACTCTCCACCCCATAGGCTATATTCTTCAAAATTAGGCTCTCTCTGATAATATATGGCTTAGATTGCAAGCCTAGCATCCCTGTAAGCTCAGCTTCTAGATAGCCCGGTAAGGTAGCCGAGGCAAAGATCATTGGAACCGGCAAAGCTAGGGTATGCCAAACCCGTTTCATAATAGGCCTATAGCTCTGCGAGAGTGGGATTAAATGGCATTCATCCCATATTAGCCTAGCTAGCCGTTGCTGATTGATTAGATAGCTAGCCATCTCGTAGAATTTAGGGTATACAATATACTCGATTTGGACAAGAATCAGCCGAGATTCCGGATCGAGACCCTTATAGCCGATAGCAGGCTCCCATACCGTTGGCCTTAGCCCTAAGGCCTTAGCTTTAGCTAGGATATCTAGCTTCAAAGATATCAACGGTATAATCAATATCGTTATCTGATTAGGCAATATACTAGCCCCAAAGAGGAATAGGGTAGTTTTACCAGATGCGGTTGGTAAGATAAGATAGAGATATGGAATTTGCTTTATTATAGCATAAAAAGCTTCCTGTTGGCCAGAGCTCCGAAAAACAGCAGTATTATCACTAAGGAATTCCCTAAGCATCTGCGTTAGGGTACCCCTATCGATATAGCTGCTATCTAGCAAAGGCGAGTATACTAGGCTGCGTATACGCTGACTGGCATCCAGATCTGGCTGATAGAGCCCAGTTGGCTGGCTAGGCCCGGCTGGCTGAGAGAGCCCGGCTGGCTGAGAGAGCCCGGTAGGCTGAGAGAGCCCGGTAGGCTGAGAGAGCCCGGCAGGCTGAGAGAGCCCGGCAGGCTGAGAGAGCCCGGTAGGCTGAGAGAGCCCGGCAGGCTGAGAGAGCCCGGCAGGCTGAGAGAGCCCGGCTGGCTGAGAGAGCCCAGTTGGCTGAGAGAGCCCAGTTGGCTGAGAGAGCCCAGTTGGCTGAGAGAGCCCAGTTGGCTGAGAGAGCCCAGTTGGCTGAGAGAGCCCAGTTGGCTGAGAGAGCCCAGTTGGCTGGCTAGGCCCAGTTGGCTCTGAGAGAGTGCCTGGCTGGCTGGAATATAGATTGCTATATAAGTTTAAAAACTCATAGAACTGGCCTAGGCTAACCTGTTTGGTAGGCCTGACTGCCCCTAAACGGATAGGGTAGTGATATTGTACAACCGGCCTCTCTAGGGGTAGTAAAACAAGCTCTGGAAGACTAGAAGAGGCTAGCTGGGCTTGGGCTTCGGCCTTGGGCTTCACAGATTGCCTATTATAGAACAGTGAGCCTAATATAAGCTGATCAGCTGATATACCCAAATAGGTATGCCATTGTTGACTAAAGCTAATCAAAGCTGTTTGGATATCTGCTCTGATACCCTGGAAGCTTGCTATATTTCGGCCATATACAGCTAAGCCGGTTCCACGAGAATGGTTCATCTGTTCGGCTCCAAGGCCTTCCACATCTAGCCTATCTGTACCCAAATCGGCCAGCGGATCGGCTAGACCAAGCCCATAACGGATAAAGCCTTGCATTAGATGCCGCCAGACCTTTATATTGATCCGCTGAGCAATCAATTCTGAGCTCATACTCTTCAGTGTATGTGAGAGTATCTTAGAAGAGAACGGCTGAGCTGTCCGGTAATCATAGAATAGTATAAAATAGGCCTCAGGCAGCCGCTTATGCAGCCAGATCAGCAAGCCCTCTTCAAATGGCCTAATATAGGCCAGATAGGCTAAAAGTAGCCACGAGATTGATTGTGGTAAGGCCCGTACAGCGTCTTTCTCTTGGCCATTTCGGCTAAAGGTCTTCGAATAGGCTAGCCGGATCAGAAAGATATGGTTCACTGGATCTAGGAATAAATTCCGTTGGTTGGTAGCTGTATTTTGCCAGATCACCTGATTTATCTCTGTACCTCTAGCCGGTGCGCCGCTGGCTATATGGGTAAGGGTTAGAAGGCCTTTTAGCCAGTTGCTGGTAGTCTCTAGATAGCCTAGAGCCTTAGGCCGGGAGAGCTCTATATCAGGCCTATCTTCGGCTACTATCTCTTCCGTCCAGGCTGGGGAAGCTAAAGCCTTCTGAAGTAAGAAATCAGATGGCTGGCCAGCTAGATAGACTGATAGAAAAGACCATCGATTTGTCATATTTCCTATATCTTCGAAGCTGGCAGCCTTGGAGAGAGATAGAGAAGATTGGGCCTAGATAGATAGATAGATATATATTAGTAAATATAGTAAGATATAGAGATATAGCTAGATATAGATATATATATATTATACTCGTTAGGGTTATTAACTTACCGCTTGAAAATTTGTAAATTCCAGAAATAGATCATTTGATAAAGCTAGGGCAAGCTGATTTATACCTTTAGCTAGGAAGACCCTTAGATCTTGCTGCGAGAGAGTAATATGTTGATACCGAAGGGTATGGGGAGCCAGGCTATATATCTTGCCTAGCGAGGTGCTAGATTTCGATATAGCAAAGCCTAGGGCACGTAAGATCAATATATGCCCTAACGGAGTCTCCGATTGTGCAATAAACCATTGGTGCATCCAAGATCTAGTATAACTAGCCATAGATTGATCAATAGCTAAATCAGTAAAGATATCTGTATATAGCCAATATAGTATAATCAACTGGTAGCATTTGATAATCGCTGAGTAAGAATGGGTGATTTGGTCCAACGGTTTAAAGCAATCACGTTGATAGTTCCGGCTAAAACAGGCTAGGAATGCATAGAGTGGGATATCTTGTCTATCTCTAGCCTCACATTCAGCTAGAGAGAGGGCTAGCTCAATTACTAAGCCTACACCCTTAGAGATCTGTTTATTATCCAAGCTAGCTTGCGGTAGTATCGGTAGAGTATCGTTATCGGAACTGGCTGTATCGGAGCCTGTATCGGAGCCTGTATCAGATAGATCATTAGGCTGGAAGGAAGCTGGCTGATAGGCAGCTAGGCTCTCGGATGGAGGTGGCAAAGCCTGTAAAAAGTGATCTAGGCTTGCTAGGCCAGCTAGCTGCCGCGGTTGTAGAGTATAAAGACCCTGATAGCTTGCAGGGCCGCCGCCATCGATAGAGAGATAAGAACGTAGTAAAAATTGAATTAAAGCCTGAAAAATCAGGCTATATTTCTTGATGGAGGCCTTATTTTGTAGACCCCGTAGCGGACGTAATGTAGCCTGGGTAGCGGGGTCTAGGCTAAAGGAATTCAGAGCCGCTCGGGTCTGTGGAGACGCTGTTTGAATATAGCTATTCCCTAGAGAAATCAGCTGATATATAATAGCGGAGAGCCAGATCATCTGCTCCGGGCTCTGTAGGGTAAATAGGGTCTCTAGCTCAGCAGCATCCCGGCCAGCTAGATAGGCTGGATACTGGCTATCTGTGAAAAAGCCCCTAGCCTCGTAGGTCTCATCAAGGGGTTGGATTACCCTAGATTGTTTCAGAGAGCTCCGTAGATTAGCCAGGCTAGCTAAAAACTGGGTAGAGAGAGCTTGTTGGGTTGGCTGGCTAGGCCCGGCTGGCTGAGAGAGCCTAGTTGGCTGGCTAGGCCCGGCTGGCTGAGAGAGCCTAGTTGGCTGGCTAGGCCCGGCTGGCTGAGAGAGCCCGGCTAGCTGGCTAGGCCCAGTTGGCTCAGAGAGAGTAGCTATCTTTAGCCGCTGGCCTGGGCTAGAGACCGAGTCTGAGAGAGAGAGCTCTCTAGATCTCTTACGAGTGAGAGTAGTAGGCAAAGATAGCCTAGGCTCGGTAACACGAAAAAGATAGGCTGAGCCCTCTAAGGCTTGGATCAGGCATATAGTAGCTTCTGCATCCTGAGCTGTATAGCCTTTGATCCTATGGCTCTCACGTAGATGGATACGGGATTTACCCTGACTCAGAGAGAGAGATTTGCATAGTTTGCATTGATAGCCGTTTTCTGGTAGTTTCAGTGTCGGTAGCGGCGGAATAGGCTGAGTTTCCAAGATCAGATGGTGGCTAGCAGCCAAAGATAGGAGCCGATAGGCAGCTAGATCGGCCTCGGTAAGAGACAGATCGTGGTGGAACTTGATTATATGATCAAGAATTTTAGTCTCATATAGGGCTCGCTGATGGGTAGTACAGGCTATTAGACCGTATTGGGGATAATATACCAGATAAGGTGGAAGGGGCGGTAGGGTAGAAGATATAATATCAATCAAGATCGGTAGATAGTAAAGATATATATCAGAAAATATGTAGCTAATAGTGGGTGAGGAAGTGTAAGAGAGAAGAGAGATATATTTGGTAGAGAGGTAGTGTAAATAAGATTTGGTGGGGGTGGCTGGGTGTGGGGCGGTAGATACGTCTCGGGCGGTGGCTAGATGTGGGGCGATGGCTAGTCAGCCCGGTGGCTATTGAGCCCGGTGGCTAGCTGGCCAGTTGGTTAGTTTGCCAGCTAGCTAGTTGGCCAGTTAGCCAGATTGCTTGTTTGCTAGTTGGCTAGTTAGCCAGTTGGTTAGTTAGCTACTGAGCCCGGTGGTTAGTGAGCCCGGTGGTCAGTAAGCCCGGTGGCTAGTAAGCCCGGTGGTCAGTAAGGCCGGTAGCCACTAAGCCCGGTGGCCATTGAGCCCGGTGGCTAGTTGGCCAGTTGGTTAGTTTGCCAGATAACTTGTTTGCCAGTAAGCCAGCTAGCTAGTTGGCCAGTTAGCCAGTTAGCCAGATTGCTTGTTTGCTTGTTTGCTTGTTTGCTAGTTGGCTAGTTGGCCAGTTGGTTAGTTAGCTACTGAGCCCGGTGGCCAGTAAGCCAGTTAGCTGAGACAGTCAGTTAGCCAGCCAGCCGCATTAGCCAGACAGCCGAGCCAGCCAGCTGCATTAGCCAGTCAGCCAACCAGCTATATTAGCCAGTTAGCCAGCCGAGCCGAAGGGCCAAGTAAGCCAGTGAGCCAGATATCTGAGCAAACCAATTAGCCAGTTAGCTGGTTCACTAAGCAAACCAGTTAGGCAGCTAAGCCAGACAGGTGAGGCAGACAAATAAGCCAGCCAGTTGGCCAGTTCGCCAGTTAGCTAGATAGCAAGCCGGGGCAGTTAGCCGCTGAGCCCGATAGCCACCGAGCCCGATAGCCACCGAGCCCGATAGCCACCGAGCCCGATAGCCACCGAGCCTGTTAGCTATTGAGTCCATAAGCCCGGTAGTTACTAAGTCTAGTAGCCGGTAAGCTAGTTGGCTAGGAGGCCTGGTGGCTAGTAAGCCTGTTGGCCAGTTAGCTAAGCCAGTCAACTAGCTAGCCGGGGCAGTTAACACCGAGCTCATTAGCCAGTAAGCTTATTAGCTACTACTATAATGATATTACCGCTGGAGAGATATCAGCACTACAGAACTATCACCGCTACGAAATGTTACCGCAAGAAATATATTACCGCTATATATATATTCAGTAGTATAAGGGTAGTTGAATATTGATAGATATATAGATTATATTGATAAATATTATCATAGATTATATATAGCATAAAGATATATAGTTAGATCAACAGATCATATATAGATAGATAGTGTAGGAGTAAGAGTCATAGTGGTAGTGATGAGGGAGATATCGATGATATGTGGTTAGGTAAGCGCGGAGCGCGCACCGCTGATTAGGGTGTTAGGGTGTTAGGGTGTTAGGGTGTTAGGGTGTTTGGTTAGGGTGGTTAGGGTGGTTAGGGTGGTTAGGGTGGTTAGGGTG